TTTCCGGTTTTTGTTTCCCGATCATGACAAGGAGCACACGGGGGGTGTGACCGGTCGGCAGAGGACGTTCACTCCTCCATGGCACCTGATCCTACCTCTAAATTTTGAGGTCCGTGTTTGCTCTGCTCCAAATTTGTATAGTTTCATTGGACGTTCGAGATTGAATACTGTTCGTTATCTTCATATTTCATCTATATGGTTATTATTCATCGTGGTCAAGAGACTGTTGACTGTTTCTATTACATGTATGTAATTTATTTCATAAGAAACACATTGTCGTAAAAATATTGCTATGGATTTGTTTTTAATTTTTAATTGTAGTTACTAAATGGTGCCTCCTTCACACGACCGAAGAACTACCTTTCAGCATATGTCACATCTTTGCTCTTCCCAGCATAGCTATGGTAATGGCAATCTGTTGGCTCTCTGTCCCCTGATCACAATGTACAACAAAGACGTCACTACTTTTCTCTCTTGCCTTATACTTCATTCTACCGTTAAAGGAAGCACACGTGCTTTTGTTTACCTCTTTAACATACTCTTGATTGGTTTTCACACGGAATTCTACACAGAAGATCACTCTCAATCACTATTTGATAAGTGAAAAAACCCATGTATTAAAACCCATCTAATAAACCTTTTTTTCTCCGGAAAACCTTGCCTTGCCAATGTCCTTAAGTATCCTAAGTATAAAATTCACACTTTTGACATGATTGAACACCTGATAAAAATTATGCATTTCTGAACATCTTACAACCGTTAATTCTAAATTGGATGGACGATTTCCTAATACATTCCGTTCAATACCAAGTAAAAAATGAGCCAACTTACCGATCATATGTTCCTTGATCTTTCATGAAATCATTGCATTTTTTCTAACAATTTTTGCATATATATATTTTAAAAATTACAAATGAATTAAAAAAAATCATAAATTAATATTAATTCATAAATCCCATCATATCTTATTGCATTCAAAAGTTATTTCACTTCGGTGGCGGCAAAAAGATGTGGGTCATTGAAGGATTTTTATGAGCAGTTGGATATCCCATCACATTCAATTGCATTCAAAAATTATCAATTAATCTATACTACTATATTAAAATAATAGACTCGAATTTTTGGCCTTTAATACCGATAAATCGGAAGAGTACTGTCTATTGTTTTATATATTTCAAACATCATTGGTACTTGAAGATTACCAATTTGTTTTTATTTTTTCTCAATTAAGCTTCGCTAATTAATAATCAACGAAAATTCCCCAAAAAATTCCGGAAATCATCTGGATTTTTTGGATTTTACAATCTTGCGCGTGCGCATTACATTCACGCTAAATCACGTAGATATATATTTGTTGTTTTATAATTTCTCTAATAAGAAATCATAAATATATATGAACAGAATATATAGCAAATTTCCAATGAAAATTTACACGTATCTTAGTTTATCAATGCAAATGTGATATTGTGGCCACGTGGGTAATCATTCGCCATCTCGGAGACACATTTATTATATGTTATTTACGTCTCTGGTCATCTCAACGGAGGCAAAAACCTCATAATCGTAGGAGCAATATTAATGTAACTACCCGATTTTATTTTATCCTTCCTTTCTTTTATGCTTTTTTGAGGGGAAGGGGGGGGGGGGGGGGTTACAACTCCAGCTAGAATCACATTTTAGTGAAGTAGGCATTCTTTTTCCGCCAAAAATTACAATAACATTATTTTCATTTCTTAACTTTGAAGTAAATCGAAATAATCAAATAACGTCAATATAACTGATATTTTCAATTTGAAATGTGTCTAAATGATTGCAACTTGAATTTGTTTGCCATGTTTACTATTACCTTCACTGCTGAGATTTATAACGCGGTAAATATGAAACATAAACTAAGGGCAAAGAAATATTTGATTCCATGCAAAAAAATTCACATTATATTTCTTACGAGAGTGTAGTGAAATTAATAGCATTATTGTAGGCTTATATAGCTTTGTCATGTAAATACATGACCTCTAACCCAGACGTTATATAGAAGGGACAGCCTGTTCTTCTAAATATGTAAAGATTGTGGTAACTACATGTACGCTTAATAGGTAGTCTGAAGTCAGCCCTTGCGGCCCGTACAGTTCATTCTATCAATGCTGCTGAAATATCGATCATTTGCATAGGCGTCGGAAGCAAATTGAAAGTGGGGTGGCTAAATGAAAGTGGAGGGGCTAAACCAACGAAAAAAGGTAAGCCCCAATTTTCAATACCTATTCTATGTCTATCTTTGCAAAAAAAAGTGGGGGGAGGGGCTAAGCCCCCCCTAGCACCTTCCACTGTTCCGACGCCTATGATTTGTAAAATATAATCCATGCATAGTAAATCTCAAAACTATGAGGTGGGACAAAATTAAGATCATAAAGAATATTTATTCATTGATGAAATGAATTATATTTAATCGTAACAAACAAACTAACGTTTAATTAAATCGCCAAAAGAAAAAATACACCAGCGTGAAAACAAGTTGTCTTCTTCAGCAGCCATGACAGTTCCCATGTGATGTAATGACTTTTGATTGAAAACGTTTAATACTGCAATAGATTAACTTTTGTTATCACTAAACAGATATATAAATGTTTATGAGGTTTGTATTTTATTTTTGCTGCATTATTTACGTATGAAGTAAGAAAAATTCCCATTTTCAGTTCAAGATCCGCTCCCAAATTCTCATTGGCTGTCCCAAAATAAAGTCGGTCAAGGTCAGTAAACTTTAAAGTTTGGTGAACTCAGACTTTACTAAATATTTTGAAAAAAAAATGCTTTGAATTACATCAAAAACATTTATTTTAAAATGTTTCTGATTACATTGTATGATTTCAATTTAAAAAATAGAAATGATATTGTATGATCCAAAAAGAGTTGTAACCCCCCCCCCCCCATGAAAAGGCTTCATTGTTGCAGCAAGAAGTACTTTCAAGTTCATACTTTCCTACTTAGAATACCCTTGGTAAATGTCCGATATGCACATGGATGCATTCATAACAATGTCAACCCGTGCACGCACGGGTCAAAGTCTAGTAGTTTAAAAAGTAAATATAAAAAAATCATTTCAAAATACGTAAAGCTCCTAAAACCATCTTTTAAACACTAGTTATTTACGATACACAGTGCCGCTGTCGATGCACTAATCATTTCTCTCCATTTTAAGAGTTTTAACAAAATTTATTGATTGACTGACTGATTGATTGTTGTTTAACGTCCTTTTCGAAAATCTTTCACTAACGAGTATATACAGACGTCATAAATACCAGTGAATGGCTTCAAATTTTTACCCATACTCTGCACTCAGGGCCGTTGGATAGTGAGGGTTCTTTATCGTGCCAAGGCCTACCGTGACACAACACCTCTCTTTTAGGGTCTCATAAAAAAAAGACATGTGAATTCCACCTCTAGTGTCGGGCGCTTGGAGAAGGAACAGCCACCGTAATATTACCACACCGGATCAATCCGGAAATTTTATGTCCGTATTTATTTAGTTTTGTTTTCTCTTGTATATGTGCATTTCCTGTCGTCTGAACGAGATTGATACACAAGCATTTTTTCATAGAAAAGACTTCTAATAGATAGCGGCAACAATGTAAGTTTTAACATTGAAAATGAAAAGGTGACAATTTTATTTTGTTGTATGATCATTATCCACGAATTAACGTATCCTCGAAACAGTGATATTTACTAAATCCACGAAAATTGATGCCCACGAATATTAATGAAACCACAGTATTGTCAAATTTGTCACAGGGTATCCTTGGCCCAAGGGCTCCCTTTTATACTAAAACTAGGGTTGTGACCCTTTAACAAGGGGAGATAATTAGGAAAATAGAAAAAAAGTACTGGTTGCTGAAAAAGAACCACTGGGCAGTTATCACCAAACTTACACAAAAGGATGAGGATATGTTGTGGATTAAAATTTGCACGGGGATTTATCCTGGGGCAAAAGGCGTGGTCTCAAGGTCACTTCAAAGTTGACCAAAAATTACATTTTATTAATATGTTGATATTTTGCTTACTATAAGGACTAGGATCATCAAGTCTTGTCAGTTGATGCATCTAAAATTGTCTGAATAATAGATTATTACATGTATGTTTATATTTTACTATTCAAACCTTATATTGTGCATATTATATGTAATTTTGTATATGCTGCACATGCAACTTGCTATTGATGCCATTTTTAGATTTAAAATCTTTGTTCTTTTCAAAAATCCTCTTGATATAACATAACCACGCAAAATATCAAAATCAATAGCATAACAATTGCAGTTATAGGGGACGTGATCTACACGTAATCCTCCGCCCTTTTTCACTTTTTAAAAAAAAGTTGAGAACCAACCCGACCTTTCTCACTTACATTAACAATCATAAAATAAAATGTAAACAATCATAAAATAAAATGTAAACAATTTTGAAAATGCGTGTCCCTAAAATGGCTGCAGTTCTTTATCACTCCTCCGACTCTCTCCCCCCCTCTCTCTCTCTCCCTCTCTCTCTTAGTGGTCAAACTGTTTAGTTCTACAAAATGAAAGATGCTAAATATTCGTTGGGAAAAATAAAGTTTTGTGTTTGAAGAAAGAATTTTTTTTCTACGAACAAATTAGTTTTTTGTTCGAGCAAAAATCTAATTTGTTCGGACGAATTAATATTTTCTCGAACAAATATCTAATTCGTCTGAACAATATACAATTTGTCTCAACGAATTTCTAATTTGTCCGAAAGAATTTCTAATTTGTCCGAACAAATATCTTATTCGTCAGAAAATATTTCTAATTTGTCCGAACAAATATCTTATTCGTCCAAGGGAATAAATATTGTTCTTTATAAAAGCTGTCAAACAAATATATAGATAAAACATACTCGTTTTGCGTTTCCTAACCTCTCGCAAAACATCGGGTGTAGCCTCTAGAGAAGAAAACACACAGTGCATTAGACTCTTTATGAAAGAATACAACAAATGCAAATAAATGCTGCATTTTTATTTGAATGATTTTAACAATAACTCATTTTATTAGGTATAAGCCGGCTGTCCTGTCATCGGTCTGTCTAAAAGAAGAAGAAAATGAAATCAAATTTTGATGATTCTAAAATAAACAATTATTTTTTGGTTGATACGATCATGATGATGAATTGCTTAGGAACAAAAACTCAAATACAGGGTGATTCATAATACGTTACATTTTGAATCTACAATTTGACTAACAAAAAATGTATGTACCTATTTTTCATGCTGGGAAGGTCTTAGTATACGCTCTTTCGATGCCGTCTATAAAATGGATAATTGCTCGGAGAACCAAACCCGCCATATTGGGAACCCAGTAAACTGTATCCCCCATAGGGAGAACCTACACCGTATCCGCCATATCCGCCATATGGAGAGCTTACACCATTCCCTCCATATCCGCCATATCCACCATAACCGCCATATCCACCATATCCGCCATATCCACCATATCCGCCATATCCGCCATATCCACCATATCCGCCATATCCACCATATCCGCCATATCCGCCATATCCACCATATCCGCCATATCCACCATATCCGCCATATCCACCATATCCGCCATATCCACCATATCCACCATATAGAGAGCGAACACTGGATCCGTAATACGGAAAATGTCTGGAACAGCATTTAGAAAGATTAGAAATAATGAAAAAGAGAAAAGTTTGTGGTTTCATGTATACAAAAAGCAAACAAATAAAACAGCAAAAAAGGGGAAAAAACAGGGAAATAGGAAATTAAGTAATTTAATAAGTATAAAAAAGACCAAGAAACTTTTACCAGAGAAAAAGTAATTTATCGTGAATAATGTTTTTATATCAGCAAAATCAAATTTCAAATCATACTTCGAAATAAGGTGCTTTTAATTGCCTTATGAGTAAATTATCTATTCTATATTAAAGCAACTCTTTTATAATGTACATAACAATGTATAATGTACATTATGTATACTGGGTTCTCAATATGATGTACATACCTCTGTCTCTTGTCATAACCAGCAAACGCCAAAGCGATGCAGATCGTCAAAATTACTGCTCTAATCATGGTGACGTCTAATGGGTTATCTTAATTTAAAAAAAAAGACAATGATTAAAAGGAAATGAAAACACTTTAATTAATTTCTGATTCAAAAGTAGAGCTTGATATAATATTCTTTTTGAATTATCAACATTTTTTACGAAAATCTTACTGATTCCATGAAAATTTTGATATATAATTCTTTTAATGCTTTTTTATTTTGATTTACAAAATAATGCTCAACATTCCACGTGTACAACGACCTCAGTATTTTGGCTAAGAATTGATTATAGATGGATCGTTTAACGAAAGTCACAGCATGACAAGGTTCCATGAAAGGTAAATTACCTCCATCACTTTCTTATATTTACATTATGCTCTAAATCCTGATTGTACTGGTGTTTGCTGTACACTTTATTGTAACCGAATGAATGGTAATTTTTCGACTTGTATTAAAATCAATATTTCTAAGGAAAAAAGTAAGATAGTGAACATCCAAATGATGAAGAAATAGTCCATTGTATGTATTTTAACATATTTAGCCATTTCCCTTGCATGGAAGCAATTGATTAAAATGAAAATGATGAGTTTCAGATATGATATTATTAATTCCAGTTAAGTGTGCCGTTTTGCATTATGTCACAACCTATGATGACAGCAATGCTCAAGGTAAATAATACACGCCTCCTAACCGCAAGCTTTATGACTGGAAATTTCTTCTTATCCCTGATTGGTTGCTAGTGCAAGAGACTATTTCCGTGTCAATGTTGATAAAATGAGTTGACCAAACACACAGCCGGGCTTGAATTGTTTACTCTGGGTGCATCTGTCGAAAAAAATCGTGACGTAATGCGAAACGGCACACTTAAATGGAATAAATAATATTTAATTCTTCCATGTCATCAAAAATTACACTAAGCTGTTAATATTCATCACATAGCATACAGAATTGTATTCAATGATTTAAGCAGATTCAAATGCAGTAACATCTTCATATAATTTTTTTTTCACAGACCTGTTATTTTTTCACTTTAAAAATACACAATTTGCAATGAGACTCATTTGCACTCCAGGAACACAAAGAAATACTCAGTAAATAAATCATCCTGAAACATATCTAACTGTAAAAATGTCTCAAAATTACTTTTAAATCTATGGTTTCAACGCTTCGCTACATGCATGACGTCTAATGACCATAAATAATAAATTTATAACCTAAGTCACTGCTTTTGAAAAAAATGAAACACCCGCGGTAAGTGCATAACGAAAATGTAAACAAAATGTAATAAACAGAAACTGTTAAAAAGTTTTGGTGTTGAATTTTTAATGCTTAGTCATGTCTCGCACTCAAGAAATATAATAAAACATCCTGTCCACCTTGTGAGACTGATTTCATATCCAACAACATGTACAAAACATTTGAAATCCCTGTATGTATTCATTTGAGAATGAGGTATGCATCCAGTACAATACGAATTATTTTCGATTTTGTTGGATATTTTTATTTCAGATTAAATAAAAAAAAACATCATATTAGTATCACTTACATATAAAGTCGGGAATTAAAAATCACAAAAAATCTAGTATGCAAGTATGCAGATTTGGAAAACAACATATCATGCAAAATCATAAGCACACCCGTTAGTAGAAATTCCAGACTGCATTTGAAATTACCAAGTGAATCACTTGGAATTCTTCATTTGGGATTTCCGAGTCACTATTCGGAGTATTGGAAAAAATTCCAAATGGTTCCATATGACTTCCAAGTTGTTTCGGAATGACTAGAACTCATGTCTTTCTAGAAATTTCCAAATGACTTCCAAGTTGCTTAAAAATGACTTCCAAATTACTTCCGATTGACTAAAACTAATGTGATTCAACAAATCAAAGCAAGATTTCATTGGCTTATAATTAAAAATTTTGTTCAGATAATATAACATACAACTAGCGATTTGAAAATATACACTTAGTTACGAACACAAAATTTTAGCATCATTTAATGATATCTTTTAATCATTGTATTTGGAAAAAAGCAAACCATCCTGGTAAAAGATATCCTGTAAAACTGTTTTAATTAAGATATATTCAATAATAATTTGGCAAATTTAAAATCCAAAGGTAATAAAAGTCGAACACGTAATGTATGGAGACGACAAACAATTTCGAAATATATTTATTCTCCGCACAGTTCAGCAATGATCAATCTTATGCTGTCTTATGTTTTTGAAAGAGAAGACTGCGACATAAAATGAAAAAAAGATACCACTGCATGAGTAATGTAAACTATCTCCATTGAATGACAACATAGATCAATTCTCCATTAATGCGACTGATTTCAAAATCCATGAGGTCGAGTCCGATCAGCTGATAACATAGAATCTGCTCATTAAATATATTGACTAAGTTTCATCTCTGCACTTCCAAATGGTTCCAGATAGATTCCAAATTGATTTAAGATTCTTCCAAATGACTTGGACGTACTTGGAATTCCAGATGCTTCCAAAACTTTCAAGTAATTCCAAGTGACTTCCAAATGAGAATTGACGGAGAAATTCTACATATGGGCAGCCCCATAATTAATTCAAATGTATTTTGTACACTCCTCAATTCTTTGTAGTAAGAAATTGTAACTGCATTTGTTAATTTGTACAGTGCCAATTTTTTTTTGCCAGATAAATAATTTTTTGAAACAACTTATTCAATACATTTTCTTCAAGAATTTTACAAATGATATAAAGCTCTTAAAATAATTTTATTCAGATTTAAAGTGTTGAAAAAAAAGAAGAAAAAAAAATGATTTATTATCCAATAATGAAGGTGAGATCACCCAGATACAGTAGGGGGCGGCTTTTTATTCTTTTTACAAATTAAAAAAAAATGAACAACTATGCTAAAAGCAATGTTATGTTCTGAAAATGATAATAGACAAGACGTGTTTGTTAAGGACAATTGCTGCCAGACAGTGATAAGTGTGATCTGAACAATTATTCATAGATATACAAGTCAAATAATTTTTTCTACATTATAGTAGACATGGAGATTTTGATTTTAATTAGAATTCTCGTATGATGTTAAACACTACATCAAAATCGGAAACTGAACTCAAGCCTCACAGTTGCAAAGGGGGTACCCTAACCACTAGATTAATTCCAAATGATAAAGTTTTTGCATAGAGACGAAGAAAGGACAGAGAAAATATATATATATATATATATATATATATATATATATATATATATATATAGAGAGAGAGAGAGAGAGAGAGAGAGAGAGAGAGAGAGAGAGAGAGAGAGATGACGATGATGAAGATTAACTTACCTTCTAAGACCAAATCAGCAGACAATTTTTCAAACAGGATCTTTACCTTTTATAGTAATTAGCTGCAATAGTCATCCAATAAAATTGTGCATAATTGACCCATGCTGCTAATAAATCAACCACATCAAACCTCTGTTCCATTTTTGGGGCATTTTAAATTTTAATGGATTTTGTATGTTTTTTTAGTTGTCAAATTTGATAGATTATAGGTTTAGCTAGTTTTATTTCATGACAAAAAAAAAAATTCGGTAATTATGTAAGAATTTTTTAACACAAGATTTTTGTATGACCATTTTGATAAGTTCAGTTGATCAGTTCATTACGCGGTAATTGCCCAGTTAAGATAGGCTATCGTTTATGCACTTACTTGGAACAAAATTAATGTACTAGAGACGTGTCGAGCGTCGAGAGAGAAAGTTTTCTTTGTTTAACGGGCTGAAGGTCTATTACAATCAGTTGCGGTTTGCTGTGTCCCCACAAAATATGCCGGGAAAAGGTAGAAGCAGCCAGAAAGTCCAGGAAGGCGCATTAGTTCGCCCGAATGGAAGACCGTAACGCCATCCTAATGAAGGCCCGGAACAGTAATTTATCGAAAGGAAAAGCTGTGCGAACGGACCTACCTAGTCATTTGAAGAAAAAACGTAGTATCCTTTCCCAACAAGCATACAAGTTGAGACACGCTGGACTCAAAACTCGAATCATTGAGGGAAAGACCGATGTGGAACTACAATATCGCAAGCCAACAGACACAGTTTGGATCAAATATACTGATGCATAATCAACTTTTTCAAGCAGCCCACATACACAATATGTTGAATTTTTTCCTCTCTCTCTCCATTATTTTTCATGTTTCCTTTTAAGCATATGAAGGAAGCTTGTGGTTTTTTTTATTTTTCAGTCTATAATGATTGAGCTGTGTATATATGTAAATATGTGTATGTTGTGTCCATGTTTCATTCTGTATAATAAGTATGACTAGTAAGCTTAAAATTATTTCCATGAATTGTAGAGGGCTACATGATCATAGTAAAAGGAAGGATGTTTTCAAATATTTAAGAGAACATAATGCAACATTTTACTGCTTACAAGACACACATTGTACAGAAAATGAGAGAGATATTGTTTATTCACAATGGGGCCTTGATTTTTTTATGTGCCCAGGGTCTAGTGATTCGAGAGGAATTTTAACACTTTTTAGTGACAAAGTAGAAATTAAAGTTTCAAAATTCAAACTTGATTCCCTTGGAAATTATATTGTTTCAAGTATCCTTATTGACAATAGATATTCTATTACACTAGTAAATCTATATGGCCCAAATAAGATAATCCTGACTTTTATATTGATCTTGGAAATATCATTGATGATTTTGACGATGATTTTATTATAGTCTGTGGGGACTGGAATCTTGTACAAAATTATGATCTTGACTGTTACAACTATGTACGTGAAAATAATCTGAAAAGTAAATTGGAAGTAGAAAAATTAAAGAATAGACTTCATTTAGTTGACACATGGTGCATTTGCAACCCAAATGTAAAAATGTTCTCTTGGGCTAAAAAATCTCCCATTAAGCAGGCTAGGCTAGATTTTTTTCTAATATCAGAAGAGCTTATGTCAACACTTGATACGGCAGCAATTCTCCCAGGATATAGAACAGATCATTCAATTATTGAACTTCAACTAAGATTTGACAATTTTTCAAAAGGAAGAGGTTTTTGGCGCTTTAAT